GGCCGAAGGTAAACAGGGAATGCTGGGAGGTGCTGAGCGTGGAGCTTAGGACATGCGTGATAGGGAATGCTGGGAGGTGCGGAGCTTGGAGCTTAGGACATGCGTGATAGCGAATGCTGGGAGGGGCGGAGCTTGGAGCTTAGGATATGCGTGATAGGGAATGCTGGGAGGTGCGGAGCTTGGAGCTTAGGACATGCGTGATAGGGAATGCTGGGAGGTGCGGAGCTTAGGACATGCGTGATAGGGAATGCTGGGAGGTGCGGAGCTTGGAGCTTAGGACATGCGTGATAGGGAATGCTGGGAGGTGCGGAGCTTGGAGCTTAGGACATGCGTGATGGGGAATGCTCGGAGGTGTGGAGCCCAGGACATGCGTGATGGGGAATGCAGGGATTTTTCCAGGTTTTCCCCTACTCTGTATGCTTTATTGTAGGTTTTCCCCTTAAGCCGTGTGCTATATCTTAGAGTTTATTAAAAGCACAGGCACACAAAATTACACCACTAAGACTAGAGCATCCGTTGTCGCTTAGGCTAGAAATTCAGATCAAGGGAGGTAATCAGTTAGCAGTCTTCAATGAGTTGTTCTTTGACAAACTGGGTTATGTTTTTCTTTTTCCAAATTTTTTTTCCAACCGGCAAGAAAGGAAAAACTCAACGTGCATCGAAAGAACTAGGCGGGCATTGAATGGGGCATGATGCGCATTAAATGGGGCATGATGGGCATTAAATGGGGTATGACGGGCATTGAATGGGAGATTGCATGGGGCTTATGCCATGTTGAAGGGTTAAGGACCACCACTACAAGTGGCATCAACCTTTAACACACATTTAAAAAAAATTGTAAATTTTGGGTTGGGATGGGAAAAAAAAAGGGGGGGGGTGGTCGTTTCTTATCGTATGAAATGGGTGGCCCGTGGACCTGAGACAATAGACAGGGAGGGGGGTAGGAGGCGGAGGTAAACACCTTGTAAATATACTTAATGGAAATTGAAACGTAAACTGAAATTAGGAAAGGGCACCGTCAGGTCTTCATAGGGGCACCATAAGGTCAACATCAGGTCACCATCGGGGTACCACAGTGGCACTATAAGGGCGTGTTAACATGATCTGAATTGAACTTTATTTAGGAACTGTTAGAATTTATGCCGTTAAATCAGTGGTCGGAAAACTCATGAGTCAAAAGAGCAAAAACAAAATCAGCAGCAGGACGATTTAATTTTTTGTAGAGAGCCAAAATTCTGTTCAAGAACCTGTCAAGAGCCATGCCTTTCAGAGCCAAGACCGATTTGTGGCCGGCTGGCCGAGCCGCATTCAGGTCGTTAAAGAGCCGCGGTTGGCCACTGGACCACTGGATTAACCCATTTGTAATAGTAATACGGACAATAATAATCATATTAATAAGATTTCAAAGAAAAAAAAACTACTTGTAGAGTAAGTACAATAATGTCTGAGATGTTTAATGACATCCGACCAGAAGTATAAGAAATAGATTCGACTTTACTATTACATGACATAGAATAGATGTGAACTTAAAGGTGATGTTTCCAGATAGTTCAAATTACTTTGATATAAAATACATTTTTAATTGCGTGGGCTCCTAGACCTTAAGGATGATCGGGTTGGGGGGGGGGTGGCTTTTACTTAAATACATAAACAATGTGCGTTGTGTATTGGATGGGGTAATGGGTTGTGTATGGGATGGGGTAATGGGTTGTGTATGGGATGGGGTAATGGGTTGTGTATGGGATGGGGTAATGGGTTGTGTATGGGATGGGGTAATGGGTTGTGTATGGGATTGCGTAATGGGTTGTGTATGGGATGGGGTAATGAGTTGTGTATGGGATGGGGTAATGGGTTGTGTATTGGATGGGGTAAAGGTTTGGGAAACGGGTGGGGTAATGGTTTGGTAATGGGTGGGGTAATGGGTCGGGTAATAGATGGGGTAAAAGGGGGCAATGGTTTGGGTAATGGGCGGGGTATTGGGCGGGGTTTTGAGCGGGTATTGGGTGGAGTATTTGCCCGGGTTTTGGGCGGGGTATTGGGCGGGGTAATTGGTAACGCTTTGGGGTCGGAGGAAAAGGGTTGTGGGAGAGGGTAAAATGATATAGTTTTTTTATTATTATCAAATGCAAAACGATTATCTGACCTGATGACAATTAATGAACATTTAATTTTGTAAATAAAAATTGTACACACCATCATGTTGTTCTTGTCCCTTTGACTTGTCTGAGATGTACACATATGGATGTACTTGCCAGTGAACACGTGCTTCAGCTGTGGATGAAACAATGGATTACGTATGGATGTACTGGGTCGGGAAAAACATTATTTCTGCTGAGGACAAAGTGGTGGATATCAAGAATAGGAACGACAGTTAGGCGGAGACAGGTCAATCGACAGTGAGGTTTAGAGGGGTCAATCGACAGTGAGGCTTAGAGGGATCAATCAAGACTGAGGTTTAAAGGGATCAATCAAGACTGAGGTTTTAAAGGGATCAAACAAGACTGAGGTTTAGAGGGATCAATCGACAGCGAGGTTTAGAGGGGTCAATTAACTGTGAGGCTTAGGGGGTTCATTCAAGACTGAGGCTTAGAGGCCCAATTAAAGAAGTGAATAAAACGATTTATTACTAAACTAAATAAACGTAATTGTCATATCTAGCCGTGAATTAAATTGATGTAAGTACATAGTACATGTGTACAGTATGCAGCAGAAGGAACAGTTCTGAAACTCCCGCATCCCGAATGTGTACGAGCGTGGGTCAACGGTGGATAGCTCCAGCCGCCACGTGTTTCAAGTAGTGAAAAGCATCATTTGTTCAGCGGAGTTTGTTGCATGTGGGTTTATCGGCGGAGAAAGAGCTATTGGTAACTCACCATCAGTTTTGCTCGTATGTATGTAAATAAGTGAGTGTTGGGGTAGGGGTAGGTCGTGTTTGAATAAAGGTGACAGAATAATTTCATAAGAATTCGTAATAAGATAGCACCAAGTAGCACAAGTATGCTGCCTATTGTTACGAAAATTCACCGTTATGGAAGTGCATGTGTCCATCAATGTAAGAAGAAGTCTGACCAATAAGTTATGAGATACTGAGAAACACGCCCGTGTTCTCCAGGGGGTGATGTGTTCTCCAGAAGGATCTGTGTTCTCCTGACGGTGCTGTGTTCTCCAGAAGGTGTCATGCTCTCCAGAACGTGTCATGCTCTCCAGAAGGTGTTCTGTTCTCCTCCGTAAAGTCCACCAGCAGCAGCCTTCAAATTGGACATCAGCATTGCGTCCTTCCTCCCAACATTTAAGGACATAGGCGCATTTTTGTGTGTACCAAATACATGCTGAACACCGTTTTGCGGAGCAAGCTATGCGAGACAGGAGGATGGATTGTGGAAATCTCTGGCTATTGTGTAGGAGGTTCCAGATTTATGAAGTAATGAGAGGTTCTAAAACGAAAGTGACATCCGTCAACTGACCGAGCGACTTTGTCTTTCTGTTGATAGATTACCTTTCCATAACCGTGTCACCTGGGGAATTTTTAAAATACACTTTTTACTTGATTCGTTCTTCCGCCTTTTTTAGAACACGCTCACCATTTACGTTCACTTTCGTGTGAGCGAAAATATTGCTCAGCTATGAGTTCTTTTTCCTTCGTGGAGGGACCCAATTCAAACAGAAACTGCCCGAAATTTAATGCTTTTCACGTCTATGGTCAGGTGACAGATGGAACTATGCACTGTTCACAAGATGTTTCAGTACAGATTGTTATGCCGCATGCTGCATTTGCAGTATCTTTGACAGCTCCGAGAAAGCTATCCACAGCCTTAACCGAGATCACCTTGGAAGATTCTCCAACACTATTGGCATGCCCCAAAGACAGGCCAGGATTATGAAGGATCTAGAGGGCTCCATACGGTCCTGCAAGATAAGCCTCATGGCTTGTATGCTAGAGTGAGCCATGGAAACGACGTTTCGTCCATTCGTTTCTCACTGGTTATGGATTAGCTCATGAGTCAAACCACCGGAGGGAGCACTCAAACACTGCAATGGACGGCGGAGACCACGCAGGTAACATCTTGGGCTGACACCGTGGAGGGGGGGGGGCTGGGGGTATTTATGACGATGGAGTTATTAAAAACGGTTCCAGTCCCGCCAGCGTACCCCCGTGGGAGTCTTAAGACGTTTCCCTTCAAATGCAGCAGACGACCTGGCCTGCATGTCGTGGTGTCGATAAAAGAACAGATATTCAACTGGATATCAACTGGTCTCCATGGCTTGTTTCCAAGAACAAATAATTCAATCATTTGACTTGGTCTTTTCTACAGCATTGCAGTTGAGAGCGCACAATAAAAATAAGTGATGTCATAAAATTAAACGTAGTTATTGACAATAGTTGATTGTTATTTAATCCAAGTATTATGATCCTACTATTTGACCTTATCTAGATGTGTATGAACTTACTGGTTCAACATATCCAGATGTGTATGATCTTGCTAGTTCAACTTGTACAGTTGTGTATGAACTTACTGGTTCAACATATCCAGATGTGTATGAACTTACTGGTTCAACATATCCAGATGTGTATGATCTTACTAGTTCAACTTGTACAGTTGTGTATGAACTTACTGGTTCAACATATCCAGATGTGTATGAACTTACTGGTTCAACATATCCAGATGTGTATGAACTTACTGGTTCAACATTTCCAGATGTGTATGATCTTACTAGTTCAACTTATCCAGATGTGTATATTTTTACTGGTTCAACTTATCCAGATGTGTATATTCTTACTGGTTCAACTTATCCAGATGTGTATAATCTTACTGGTTCAACATATCCAGATGTGTATGATATTACTTGTTCAACGTATCCAGATGGATATAATCTTACTAGTTCAACTTATCCAGATAGGTGTATGCCAGACCTCGTATTTATGATATTACTAGTTCAACGTATCCGTGGATACCAAACCTTGTATGTAAGAAAAAAATAAATAAAAGCAATATCCTGACCTGCACTATCTCCCCATATCGGACCTTCTTGCCCTGCTGTCTCTTCTGTTCAGACATGTTGTCTGCATTCTCAGCTTCTGCTGCCAGCTGAAGACATGAAACAAACGGCAACGTTTAAGGACATAGCAGAAATTTGAACAGGGTTTTTTTTTTTTTTAAAGAACAGCTGGATACATGTCGAAGACATGTGGATATCTTCAGGATTTCAGGATTTGAGAATGAACAAGTTAAACAATCCCCTAAACACAAAGTTGTTCGTGTAAGTCCTGTATAAAATGTCCTATCGAGCAATGTGGGTTGGGACTGAGAAGTTGACAAAGCATGCAACGAAGTAACACACTTTATAAGAAATCCAACCCCTCCTCCCCCCTCCCCCGATTCGTTACCGCACATTTTTTTTTTCCACGCCCCTGAACTAATATTAATATTCTTATGACCCCCCCGCCTCTTCACCACACATTTATCTCACCAACAATTTGAGAAAAACGAAAGAAAAGGCTACGCACCAAACGCACCTGCGATGTATTAAAACAAAAAAAAAAGAATGTCTTTTAGCGCAGTTATCGGGAATTTTATTTCGTGAAACCAGTGACGTCATATTTCCTTCATCTTCCCTTTGAAAAAAAAAAAAACAGTCTACGTGCCAAGTTTGAGCTCGATAGGTTGAAGGGGAAGTGGGTCAACTAGCCGTCCGAAGAGATTGGCCGCCCAGCCAGATTGAAACGAACGAACATTGAGGGAAGTCGACATAGAGTCCGTTCCATTAGTGTTTTTGTGTTTTCATTTATGGAATAATTTTTTTTTTAAAAGACAAAATAAAATAGAACTGATTATATAATTTAAATTTCTTTTTTTTAAAAATCATTCAAATGAATTTATATTAATTTAAAAAAAATAGATATAGATTTTGAAACACTACAAAATATAACCATTAAGATTATAGTTTTTACAGTTTGCTAAGGGTCAATATTTATTATTATTTTAAGCCATTTTGAATAGGATTAAGGGAGTCTATCCCATCCGTGTTGATGCCCCTTGGTGAAGGCACGCTTGTGATCTTTACAAACAAGAGCCTCTATTAATGATCTGAATATTACAGATTGTTTGCTCCCTTCACAGATCAACTTTTTTTTTCCCCCAAACTAATCCGAATTTGTCAAAGGTGAAAGACGTTTATGCCATTCAAAAGGGAGATGACTCTCAGCAACTAGTTTTCCTACCTTGGTCTGGGCGAGGAGGCTCTTGTCCAGTGTCGCAGACTCCGCTTTTGGCTCCGAGCCATTGCTGACCTGGCTCGTGAACTTGCGCAGCTTCTTGCTCAACTTGTAACGGTTCTGGATGCAGACTTGAAACGTCACCGCTGGAGAGCAGTTTGAAAAAGGGGTCCATTCAAAGATACACAAAAAATATCATAGATGTGATCACGTGGTCAAATTTTAACTGCAGTAGCACGGACGTAACGAGAATAAGGCGAAGCAAGGAATGCGAAGGTCACTGGAAGGTCAGCATGTCTCTCCGCATCATCTAAGATCGCTGGTGATGTGCATTATTTCTCATTTAGAAATAACTTTACTAAACAGAAGTGTATGTGAGAGTAAAAGTAAGAGTGATTCAAGTAACACAAGAAACTGACTGACTTACTAACTTTGACGTTAAGACTATCATCGTTCTCATTTTGAAAGTCGCGGCCATGGCCACTACATCCCACCCACCGACCCAAAGCACCGGTCCCGTGGCAACTAGCACAAACTACAGATGTCACAAAACTACAGATGTCACAAAACTACAGATGTCACAAACTACAATGTCACAAAATACGAGTGTCACAAACTACAGATGTCACAAACTACAGATGTCACAAATTACAGATATCGCAAACTACAGATGTCACAAACTACAGATGTCACAAAATACGAGTGTCACAAATGGCAGATGTCACAAACTATCAGTTAAAACACGTTCTTGTGTCACCGACTACAAGTGTCACAAACTTCAGGTGTCACAAACTACAAGTGTCGCAAACTTCAGGTGTCACAAACTACAAGTGTCAAAAACTTAAAGTGTAAACAAAAAAAACTATAGGTATAAAAAGCTACTGGTATATGCAAATGTTGAATACTAATAAATAAGTATTAAAATTGGAGCTTTCAATTTTACAACCCCCCCAAAAATGGGGGGGGGGGGAATACCATTAAATGTGAAAAGCTTACCTTGTGGGTTAGGGATGTGGGCTGGCTTATCACGGTCCTGGTGCTGGTAGATATAGATCTCACTGTAGCTTGTGCTGTTGAAATGATAGAATAACAGGTCAAGGTAGATCTCACTGTAAAATGTGCTGTTGAAATAATAGACAGAACTACAGCTTCTGAGAGATATAGATCTCACTGTAAATTGTGCTGTTGAAATGGCTGACTGAACTATTGACTCTGATAGATGCAGATCTTAGTGTAAACTTTGCTGTTGAAATGAACGGATAAGTGGACAGCTGATCTTATCTGACCAAACTGCTTTGACCAAATTCCACCACACGTTCACAACACATAGCATCTATGGCGTGTTACATTACGTCTAGGTGTCAGACGCTAACGACATTGGGGGGGGGGTGTGGTCAAACTGAACTGCCTTAACCCGATGGGTTGTGAGCCATGTTCACGGTTGTTCGTTAATCCCACAGGTTGAATGAAGGCTGGTCTCAGTTGCAATGCAAGAATCGCCCGGACTAGTAGACAGTTCAAATCTCCCCAACCACCCCCACCAACAAAAAAGCTTTGACTGTGTCTTAGAGCAAGTGGCGTGTCTTAGAGCAAGTGGCGTGTCTTAGAGCAAGTGGCGTGTCTTAGAGCAAGTGGCGTGTCTTAGAGCAAGTGGCAGTGTGTTACACCAAGACGATGACATAAATTTGGTTAAAACCGGATTTTTTTTTTCTTTCTCCGAAACAATAAAAACCCGGATGTAACCTTTTAATATTTGTGTGTGTGTGTGTATTAAACCTCCCCAATCTATTTTTAGTCCATATTTCTTTAGTTCAGGGTGCCCAATGTATCCTGTGGTCCATATGTCCTTATGTCAGGGTCCCAAATCTATTTTGTGGTCCATTTTTCAGTGGTCAGCAACATGAAATTTGCTTAAAGCCAGCTGTGGTTCAGTTATCGACTAGGACCAGCGTTTTCAATGATCAATTGAAATTGTGTAGCACAAGAAGAGTGAATGCATATTTTAAATTTCTTTGTTGATGTGTTGAAGTAAACGACCAGAAGTGAACCGCTACTCCGGCTGTCCTGTACACATTATGTCACCAGGTGTCCTGTACACATTCGGTCACCAGGTGTCCTGTACACATTCGGTCACCAGATGTCCTGTACACATTCGGTCCCCAAGGTGTGCTGTACACATTCGATCACCGGATGTCCTGTACACATTTCGTCACCAGGTTTTCATGTACACATTCGATCCCCGGGTGTCCTGTGCAGATTCGGTCATTGGGATTCATGTACACATTCGTTCAACCAGTTCGCGCCTGCTTGCTGCTTACTAAATATTTTCTTAGCCGTCGTCATTTACAAAATGGTTTTGCACTCTGTTAATTTGTGGACTCCTTCCCTTGTACATGTTATTGTTTGGCTTGGAGCACAGACGCATTTTTTTTTTTTTTTTTTGGTTTTTCACGCAAAGTAACCAATGCACTGAGCTATTTCAGTCAGGGTTGGTCAAATATTTTTATCAGGGTTGGTAAACCCTTGTACATGTTATTGTTTGGCTTGGAGCACAGACGCATTTTTTTTTTTTTTTTTGGTTTGTCACGCAAAGTAACCAATGCACTGAGCTATTTCAGTCAGGGATGGTCAAATATTTTTATCAGGGATGGTAAATTATTTTGTGCAGGTGTCTGAATATTTTAAAAAAAATATTTTTCTGCCGACCAAAATATTATTTTCTGGGTATCCATAAGGAAGGACAAAACATTTATAAACATTTAAATAAATTTAAAATAATTATAATTTAAACTAATTATTATTTAAAATAATTACAGTGAAATGATGATAATATTAATACAGTTCCCAAAAGGTAATGCAGGTCGGATGAAATGTTTTTAGCGGACCGCATATGGCCCGCAGGCCGTACGTTGTTTTTTGGTCACCCATGGTTTTAAAGGTTTAAACAGCTGCCTCAATATTTCAAGGCAAAAATATCGAGAAAAAAAAATAATACAAACAAACACAAGGCGCGATTTAAAAAAACAACAACCAAAAAAAAAAACCCAAAAAAGGAAACTGAATGGTTCACATTAGAAATATTGCGCATCGATTGGAGTTTTCAGAAAAACCGTACGTTGTTTTTTGGTCACCCATGGTTTTAAAGGTTTAAACAGCTGCCTCAATATTTCAAGGCAAAAATATCGAAAAAAAAAAATAATACAAACAAACACAAGGCGCGATTTAAAAAAACAACAACCAAAAAAAAAAACCCAAAAAAGGAAACTGAATGGTTCACATTAGAAATATTGCGCTTCGATTGGAGTTTTCAGAAAACGTCTTTCTCATTCGACTGCAAGACAATGTCTTTTGCACGGCAGCTGAATTTGTGTAGCTATATTGTGTCATCACAGAGCCGATTCCAGAATGAAATTTTAATTATTATCCAATAACTCTCAGAGTCAAAATAGGATCCCCACATCAGGATCACGTGACAACTTAATTATAAAACCAATTTTTAGTTCAATGGTATTAACAACCGTGGGCGGGCGAGCCGGAGGCGGTGGGTTGGGGGGGGGGCTGATTGGGGGGAGGGTTGGCTGGTTAAGAAAATACGTGAAATAACAAAGCTGACAATTTTCCATTACACTAGTCTCAGCTTCTGTCAAGTCTCAGCTTCTGTCTAGTCTCGGCTTCTATCTAGTCTCGGCTTTTGTCTAGTCTCTAGTCTCGGCTTCTGTCTAGTCTCGGCTTCTGTCTAGACTGAGCTTCTGTCTAGTCTCGGCTTCTGTCTAGTCTCTAGTCTCAGCTTCTGCCTAGTCTCAGATTTTGGCTAGTCTCAGCTCCTGTCTAGTCTCAGCTTCTGTCTAGTCTCGGCTTCTGTCTAGTCTCTAGTCTCAGCTTCTGCCTAGTCACAGCTTTTGGCTAGTCGCAGCTTCTGTCTAGTCTCAGCTTCTGTCTAGTCTCTGCTCCTGTCAATTCTCAGCTTCTATCTAGTCTCAGCTTCTGTCTAGTCTCTTCTGTCTAGTCTCAGCTTCTGTCTAGTCTCAGCTTCTGTCTAGTCTCAGCTCCTGTCTAGTCTCAGCTCCTGTCTGGTCTCAGCTTCTGTCTAGTCTCAGCTTCTGTCTAGTCTCTAGTCTCAGCTTCTGTCTAGTCTCAGCTTCTGTCTAGTCTCGGCTTCTGTCTATTTTTAGCTTCTGACTAGCTTCAGCTTCTTTCTTGTCTTAATTTATGTTTGTTTTATTAAAATGAAATTCCACGGGAAAGAAATTATACGAGGGTCACACTAATCGCTACAGTTTCTCTACTTTATCGATTGCCCTGTGGACACAGTCAACAATTGTTACCTGTAATCCAGACCAAGTCGTGTGTCGTCTTTCTAATCTAATTCTTCAAGACGGTCCCACTTTTTATTCCCCACCTTGTATATTCTAAGCAATTTTTTTTTTCAATTTAAAAGTACATGATCCCTTAAATATACTTTCCACTTACAATACTCTCCCCTAAATCCACTTTTCCCTAGATACACCGTCTAGTAAATAACCGTCTAATAAATATGCTGACCAGTAAATTAACTTTCCCCTAAATATACTGTCTAGAAAATATCTTGTTATTTTTATAATTATAAGTTGTTTTATATAGCGTGGTACCCCAGCCTAGGGCTGAGCTCACCACGCTGTACATACTATTTAACAAAATCATAAACTTAAACAATTAATTAACATACATTAATTAAATTAATTAATATACATTAATTAAATAAAACAAAGCAAATGTAAATTTAAAAATATTTACATGTCAAGCCATGGATGACATCCAGCAGCATCGTGTATCGGGCCAGGGCTGGGAATCAGTCAGGATAGTAGAGATTAAAGAGATGTGTTTTGGGGGCAGTTTTGAAGGCTGTGATGGTCGGTATATTGCGAATGTGTAATGGAAGAGAATTCCATTGTTTGGGTGCACAGAAAGAGAACGATCGTTCGCCGTATGTTTTTGTGCGAGTCTTGGGGACAGAAAGAATACGCGCGTCTGCGAAGGAGCGCAGCTGTCGAAGGGGTGAATAGACAGAGAGAAGTTCGGTTAGATAGGAAGGGGAGGGATTCGAGAAAAAAAGTTGTGACAGAGAACAGAGAGTTTTTAGTCAATACGTGCTTGTACAGGGAGCCAA